TCCTGGCTGTTTTTGGGGTTCCAGTGTCAGTTTTTTGGGGTTCCAGTGTCAGTTTTTTGGGGTTCTAGTGTCAGTGTTTGGGGTTCCAGGGTCAGTTTTTGGGGTTCCAGGGTCAGTTTTTTGGGGTTCTAGTGTCAGTTTTTGGGGTTCCAGGCTCAGTGTTTGGGGTGCCAGGGTCAGGGTTTGGGGTTCCAGGGTCAGTTTTTGGGGTTTCAGGGTCATTTTTTTGGGGTCCCAGGGGCAGTGTTTGGGGTTCTAGTCTCAGTTTTGGGGTTCCAGCCTCAGTTTTTTGGGGTGCCAGGCTCAGTTTGGGGGTTCCAGGTTTAGTCTTTGAGGTTCCAGGGCCACTTTTTGGGGTTCCAGCCCCTCACCCCTCCGTGTCCCCCCCCTTTGCAGACAAACCCACGGCGCGGATCGAGCCCCACCCGCAGTACCCACGCGAGGGGGAGAAGCTGCAGCTGCAGTGCGATGGGCAGGGCAACCCCATGTAAGGCCCTTCCTGCCCCAAAACCCCTCCCCATCCTCCTCCTCCTGCCCTGTCCCACCCCAAATCCACCCAAAACCCCTCCCCTGGTCCAGCAGATCCATCCTGGATCATCCCTGATCCACCAGATCCCTCCTGGATAATTCCTGGTCCAGCAGACCCCTCCTGGATTGTCCCTGGTCTAGTGGATCCCTCCTGGATCATCCCTAGACCTTCCCCTCCCTTTTACTCCTCCATTCCCACTCCCTGTGCCATTCCAGCCCCCAGGAATTCCCGTGGGAGAAGGAGGGGTCACCCTTTCCTCCTCCATTCCCATTCCCATCCCATTCCCATCCCATCCCATCCCATCCCATCCCATCCCATCCCATCCCATCCCATCCCATCCCATCCCATCCCCCAGGAATTCCCGTGGGACAAGGAGGGGTCAATTCCCATTCCCAATCCCATTCCAGCCCCCAGGAATTCCTGTGGGAGAAGGAGGGTTTGGAGGCTCCGCTGCAGCTGAGCTCGGACAGCGTCCTCATCTTCCCCTTCCTCAACAAGAGCGACAGCGGCACCTACGTCTGCACGGCCACGAGCGCCATGGGCAGCGTGGTGGCCAAGTACAACCTGGATGTCAGTGGTGAGTGACACTGTGTGTGTCACCGTGTCCCTGTGTCACACGTGTCCCCGTGTCCCTGTGTGTGTCCCTGTGTCCCCGTGTCCCCATGGCACCGTGTCCCCGTGTCCCCTACCTCTACAACCTGGATGTCAGCGGTGAGTGACACTGTGTGTGTCACCATGTCCCTGTGTGTGTCACACGTGTCCCTGTGTCCCTGTGTGTGTCCCTGTGTCCCCATGTCACCATGTCCCTGTGTCCCTGTGTGCGTCCCTGTGTCACCGTGTCCCCATGTCCCTGTGTGTGTCACACGTGTCCCCGTGTCCCTGTGTCACCTGTGCCCCTCACCCTGTCCCCACACGTGTCTCTGTGTCCCCCGGGCACAGCAGGAGGACGAGTTGTCCCCGATTTGTCCCCGATTTGTCCCAGGGTGGGCACAGAATCCCAGCCCTGAGCCCTCCAACGGGACCACCCTGGAGGTGCCACCATCACCCCTTGAGGTGCCACCACCACCCCTCAAGGTGCCACCACCCCTTGAGGTGCCACCATCACCCCCTGAGGTGCCACCACCACCCCTTGAGGTGCCACCATCACCCCTTGAGGTGCCACCACCACCCCTTGAGGTGCCACCACCACCCCTTGAGGTGCCACCACCACCCCCTGAGCTGCCACCACCCTTGGGCTGCCACCACCCTTGGGCTGCCACCACCCCTTGAGGTGCCACCACCCCTGAGGTGCCACCACCCCTGAGGTGCCACCACCACCCCCTGAGGTGCCACCACCACCCCTCAAGGTGCCACCACCCCTCGAGGTGTCATCACCACCCCTCAAGGTGCCACCACCACCCCTTGTTCCAGCCCATGGTGCCCCCCCCACGTGCCCACCCCCCCATTTTGGGCCCAAACCCCCGGATTTGGAGCCACCAGCACCGACCGTGACCGTGGGGGGAAGGGGGGGAGTCCCTGGTGGTGCCCCCACCCCCTCCAGGGGTTCTAAACCTTCTCTTTTCCCCCCTGTGTGTCCCCTCCCCGTGTCCCCCCCACCCTGCAGATGCCAGCCCGGTGCCCTCGGGCTCGGGCACCTACCACGCCCTCATCGGCGGCGTCGTGGCCGTCATCGTCTTCCTCCTGCTCAGCCTCCTCATCGTGCTGGGCCACTACCTGATCAGGCACAAAGGTACCAGGGGAAAGGGGGGGTTGAGGGGGGGTTGGGGTTCCTCAGGGGTTAATTTGGGGTGGTAGATGAAGGGTGGGGGGGGGTTGGGGGGCCTCGACTTAAATCGAGGCCAAATAAAGCAATGCCAGGGAAGGCAAGACCGAATAAACCAACGGCACTGAAATCAGCACCAGATAAACCAACGGCACTGAAATCAGGGTCAATAAAGCAAAGACATTGAAATCAAGGCCAGATAAACCAAGAACATTTAAATCAAGCCCAGATAAACCAACAGGACTTAAATCAGGGTCAACAAACCAATGGCACTGAAATCAAGACCAGATAAACCAATGACACTGAAATCAAGGCCAATAAACCAACAGCACTTAAATCAAGCCAAAATAAACCAATGGCACTTAAGTCAAGACCAATTAAACCAACAGCACTGAAATCAAGGCCAAATAAACCAAGAGCATTTAAATCAAGCCCAGATAAACCAACAAGACACTTAAATCAGGGACAATAAACCAACGGCATTTAAATCAGCACCAGATAAACCAATGGCACTTAAATCAAGGTCAAATAAACCAACAGTACTTAAATCAAACCCAAATGAACCAATGGCACTTAAATCAACACCAGATAAACCAATGGCACTGAAATCAGGGTCAACAAACCAATGACACTGAAATCAACACCAGATAAACCAATGGCACTTAAGACAAGACCAATTAAACCAATAAGACTTAAGTCAAGAGCAAATAAACCAACAACACTGAAATCAAGCCAAAATAAACCAACAAGACTTAAATCAGGGACAATAAACCAATGGCACTTAAGTCAAGAGCAAATAAATCAACAAGACTTAAGTCAAGACCGATTGAACCAACAGCACTGAAATCAAGGCCAAATAAACCAAGAACATTTAAATCAAGCCCAGATGAACCAACAGGACTTAAATCAGGGACAACAAACCAATGACACTGAAATTAAGGTCAAATAAACCAATGACACTTAAATCAAGCCAAAATAAACCAATGACACTTAAATCAAGACCAGATAAACCAACGACACTGAAATCAGGGTCAACAAACCAATGGCACTGAAATCAACACCAGATAAACCAATGGCACTTAAATCAAGCCAAAATAAACCAACGGCACTTAAGTCAAGACCAATTGAACCAAGAACACTTAAGTCAAGAGCAACTAAACCAACGACACTCAAACCAAGCCCAAATAAACCAAGAACATTTAAATCAAACCCAAATAAACCAATGACACGAGTCAAGACCAATTATTATTTTGTAACCTCCCACTTTTCCCCCCCCTTTCCAGGCACGTACCTGACCCACGAGGCCAAGGGCTCTGACGATGCCCCCGACGCCGACACCGCCATCATCAACGCCGAGGGCGGCCAAGGCGGCGCCGACGACAAGAAGGAATATTTTATTTAAAAAAAAAAACCAAACTCCCCGGAAAAAATCGTCAGAAACGTCACCAAAAGAAAAAAAAAACCAAACACCCACGATGACAACAAACAAACCGAGGGGGGAGGAGAGAGAAAGAGGAGGGGAAAAACAAAAAAAACCAAACAAAAACCGGAGCCCTGAGGGCAAAAAAAACAACCCCTAAAAAATATAAATAACCCTCCCCCCCCTAAAAAATAATCAAAAATCGACCCCCAGCTCGAGGAGGGAGGAGGGGGAGGGAGATGGAGGAGGAGGGAGAGACGGGCGATGATTTTCCTCCACCCCCAAAAAACCCCCGGTTTGAACCCCCCACACCTCAAAAAAAAAACCCCAAAAATAACACCCCCCCCCACCAGCCGCAGGTGAGTGAGA